TTCGCTTGTGAAGCACGAGAGCGTTAGGAGATTGAAAGAATTAGAGCATCTTTAAGAGAAAGAGTAAAACTCTAAAATAACTAAATTTTAACTATTCAAAGACAAAAAACATGCTCCAACTGAAGATGTTCAGAATAATTAAAATAAATTTTTACTACAGTGATGATCTATATTTAGGAGTATAATTGTAGCATTATGTATAAATAACTTATAATATATTCTCTCTCCTCTTGTTATTTTTTACCTCTTGTCTACTCTTTATCTCTCTCTCTCTCCCTCCCTTTAATAGTCCTAACAAAAATACAAGATATAAGAAATAATATTTAAAAGGAATAGTTAAAATATAGAAAATCTATTAGAATTTATATTGAAAAAATGAATAGGTAAAATAGAAAAAATACACTTTTAGATAGTTAAAATACAAAACCTTGTTAGAAATGTTCTTATGTGACAAAGGGTAGAAGTATTAATCTCATTTTCTTTCCTTCTTTCTTGGTAAAATTAAGTTACACCTTATTTTACTAGACATAAAAACCTAATGGGATAAATTATCATATCGAAAGGCCACTTTTCGCTAGTGTATAAAAATTATGATTTGACGTTAAAATTCAATCAAATCGTTAGAGATCGACCACAAACGGTTAGTATCAATCTATATTTTTTTAAATCATAAATTGGCTTAATTGAGTCTTAGCCTACCTTTGTGGATCATATATATTTTTCATTGAATTGTAATTAATACCATTGAGTCGTAATTTTGTATTGTAGTCTTTGACATTTTTAGAAGGTATTATATATTATATTTTCATATTTTCCTACTACGTCTATATTTTGTCTACTCATACCACGCATCATTTTAGTAACCTCCAATGGGAAATGCTACGGTAGTATTGGTACTATATTAAAAATTATAATTTTTTAATATTAAGTTACAACTTATTTGATATAAAAGTTATAATTTTTGAAAGAAATTATCGATCATTGAGGGGTGAGAGTGATACCGAAAGTTTATAATTGATCATGGGTGTTTATGATCGATTATAGTTTTCGCTTGAGGATGCAATGTAAAATTTTTTGGGAACAAAATGTAATTAACCCTAATATTTATAAATAAAAGGGTAAACTTCACTCACATCCCCTATAGTTATTTATATATTCAATGACATCTCCTATTTCGTTTGATATTTCACTACACTCCCTTATAAATTTTACTGTTAAATCAACGACACCCCCCTTGCCGTTAACCGCAGTCTCTGACAAGCTAAAAAGTGAAAATCATGACTTAAATTTTGTATTTTATGCCGAATATACCTTTCAATTGCACCGGCTTATAACTTGACCACCTATTTGAAAAAAACTAAGTCTGTGAAGACAAAACTAAGGTATGAAGATGTAACAAAGCCTCATTAATTTTTTGTTGTTTATAATATATCCAAATTTTGTGGAATTTTTTTTTTATTTTCTAAATCTTCATTGGTATTCCTTGTCAGATTCATTGGATTAACTATAATATAATTTTATGAAATTGTCCATGATATATTTTAAAAATTATATTTTTTAACGTATTAAAATTCGAGCATTGAATTTTAATCGCCTTGGATTTTGATACATAAAAAAATATAAATTTTAATACGTAATAAGAAGAAATTTTAACCAACTTGAATCAAATTTTAATTGACACGTATTTTAATAAATAAAAATTTTAATCGACTCGAATTGAATTTTAATTAGCGCTAGCAACTCAGGTTGAACTTAAATCGGTTCGAATTTTAATACGTAAAAGAATGAATAAAATAGGTTCACATTTTAATACATAAAAAAATAAACATTAATTAGTTTGAATCTAATTTTAATCGGTTTAAATTTTTATATATAGAAAAATAAATTTTAATCGGCGCTAGCGACTCAAGTTGAGCTTAAATGAATTTTAATATCTACAAAAATGAATTTTATGTAAAAAAATTATTTGAAATTTATGTTGAGGTAATGTTGATATGTTAGATGCATTTTTTTTGGCATAGAAATCGTGGTTTAACAGCATTTTTTTGGGTTGGAAATCGTAGTTTAATTGCAGGAGGTATCAGTGATGTTTAGAATAGTAGAGGGGTCTCATTGAGGGGTGTTAGTATAATTTCAAAAGATATAGAAAGTGTTATTTAATATATAGATAACTCTAAAGAGTGTAAATGAAGTTTAACTTAAAAAGAACAAAGCTCCGATAATAATTTGAGTGTGATTTTTATTTTATTAAAGAGTTATACTTATTTTCTAAAATGTAAAAATATTCACAAATATTTACGAACTGTTTTTTTGTGGGGGCAAATTTGAACAAATAAATAAATAGATGACTTTGTTCGCCTTCTTATATTTAAATCTTATAATATTTCTTTATTTAAATCTCTTCTAATTCTAATAGAATGTCAAAAACCCTAAACCTCAATCCTAAGGTTTAATCCTCAGGATAGCCAAATTTCTACTTCTTCCGTTTCAGGCCATTGGCATTTCAGAAGTGAGAAAGAACCCTTTTCATCCTATCCTCATAAACCCCCCTCTCTCTCTCTCTCTCTCTCTCTCTCTCTGTGTGTGTGTGGGAAGCATCACAGGCTCCTTGCTTCATGTTATGGTCGACATCCAGCTCCGGTTAGTTGCTCCTCTGTGTGTTTGTGTGGCTGTTCTGACACCTGTATGTGTGTTTTGTTTTTCCCTGATTTTGTGAGATAGCCAATATAAATTTCCAAGTTTTCTTCTGGTATTGATCATACGCACGAATAGATTCAATCCTTTAGGTTCATTTTGAGGGACAACCCTCCACCAGAGGATTGAGTGGGTATGAGGCTCTGCCTGGTTTACAGGCTTCGGAAAAAAGGAAGAAAACGAATATTGGTTTTTGTGTTCTGGTTTCTTCTTTCTTCCTTGCCAAGCACGAAAATTTCACTATTGGCAATGTAGTTTGATCAGGGTATTATACTTTTAGGCTTATTTTGCCTCAGGTATGTTATGTTTGGCTGTTTTTTCATATGCACATGGGCATCATTTCCCTTTCTTTTATTTCATATTTGATTGGCATTTAAGAGAGAATTAATTTATGACAGAAGCGAACTGTTTTTTCATATGCAATGATATGATTGTATTGATAAGTGTTCGTCTACAACGTTCTTGTGCTTGTAACACTAGAGAGGGTGTCATAAGTAAGATTTGGGTGTTTTTATGCAAAAAAATTAGTTACTGATGAGCAGCTGGAATGTAATTTTGGTTGGTCTAAGGCAGGTCTGGCATATGCACCGTAGACCAAATTTGCACTAGGAAGTAGTGATATGGTGTTGACCACGAATACCATGGCAAGGGAGTCCTAAACAGAACCAAATCATGAGATGAGGTGCTAGAGGCATTGTCTATGGAAAAAATTAGCCTTCAATAAATAAGATGAGAAAATTGAAATGGTATAGTTATAGTGTTTTGCTTTTCTCGTCTTTCTTTTATTTTTGTTTTACTTATTTGTGTGTGCGTACTTTTGTGTTTGTGTAAGATTTTGTTGGATGTTAGGTAAATAGCTGAATGAAATTATATTGTTTGTAATTTAGTAGTACGTAAATAATCTTTCTTCCTTTTTTTAAAAAAATGGATTGAATGTGTTGCGATTTTGTCTTCAAGATTCTGGTGATTTGTAAACATAAGATAGAAGAAAATTAGAAAAGGAAAGTGATTACAAAACTCAACAACCCAAGAAGAATGGCACAAAACTTTGTTCTAATCTATATTGGTCTGGTATGATCTATATTTTGTATTTTCTTCCTAAAACCATTAGAAATTTAGAACATACAAAACAAAAAAGGTGCACAATAATTCCTTAAATTTCCTCCTATTCCTCAAACAATTGGTTATGAATTACCGCTTATGAACTTTTGTCAATCTGAAGACCACCTTTTTAGATACACCATTCTCATCTTGTTGCAGAGCCTTGAATTTTTATGGTGCTTGGAGATCGAGAAGATCTCCACATTATCCTATTATTTTCCTCCCTTCAAGTCTGTCTATGTAATTTCCTACCGTGTCCTTTTAATACAATAAAAATTGTAATAAGAAAAGAGGAATTTAAGAGATATGGAAACAGGATAAAGCAGAGGAAGTGTTGAAGAGTGAAAAGACTGAGGGAGAGGAGAGGACTTTGACGAGGTTTTGTGTGAGGAAAATAAAAGAAATGAGACAAAGATGAGAAAGACAAGAGGCGGTGCGAAGGAAAGGGATCACAAGTTAAGTGCTTGATTTAATTGCGAATTTTTTTTCCATCTCTTTGAGGCTGGTCTCATTTTGTATCTATAGAGCTATTTGTAGGCATCATACAACCCTAAAAAATCCATATGTGCCTCATACACATTTACAACTCTCTCGAATAGGAAACGAGGACTTAGTTTCCTTTCCTAAAGCCCTAGAAACTCCAAGGAAATGAACATTACTGCATTTTTATATGAAGCTGCTAAATAGGCTCAAGTTACTGATATCAATTTGAGCACCAATGAGTAGGTCATACATCTAAATTCAAAGCGAGACTTTGGGACACAGGAAATACTTGTTCAAAGAGAAGAAAATTTGAGGACTAGCTCCCACCAGGTTTATGACATGATATTGTTAAAATATTTGGTTCTGTAATTACTGTCAGTTAAACGTGCATGATCTGTCACATAGTTTTTAGGGGGATATGAACAAGTTAGAATGGATGCTAAATGAATAGGGCTACAATTCCAAAATTTTCTTGGTCTTCTATTATCTCTTCCGTAAATGTATGATTGCTGAGCATGATACTTCCCTCACCATTTTACTTCTCTTTGCCTGACCAATAATGATTGTTCTACTTTACATCCATAAGTCATTTCTCCTGGTGGTTCTGATATGAAATATATGGCAAATTTCATGAGTCTTAGACCTGATAATAATCAGACAATATGATTGGTTACTAATTTTCAATTTATGACTTTATATGTTCTTCAACTGATCTTTGCAACATGAAGCAGTTAGTGGTGGTGAATGTGTGGCTGGATCAAGAATTCTACCAATTAGCAGATACTCTGATAGCTGTTTTACAACATATGGATATCATTGAATCTATCGTCAATATACCTGTGCAAAATCCATCTGAGGAGGAGTTCTCTTCTGCTGATTTGAATTGGACCAAATTTGGAAGTGCAGAGCGTCATGATGATGTAGCCCTTATTCCTTATGCCCGAGTTGATGCATTTATAATTGGAGAGTGTTCTAAAATAGAATGCCCAACACGGTTCCATATTGAGAGGGGAAGGAAACGATCAAAGGCAGTTTAAAAGAATACAAGAATGATGAATATCTGGAATACAGGCTGTAAGTTTTTTCGGTTTGCTTAGTCTTTCATATCCTTCTTGCTCCTCCTTTATATCAGGGAAATGAGGTTCCCCTGCCATGTAAATGTTACTTGAGGAGAGTTAATTGTTTACAGCAAATATGACTTATCCAAAAAAAAAAAATATTTTACACCAATTAGGTAGTCTATTTTGTCCAATCTTTTGATTATATTTAGCCATTTAGGGAACTGTTTTGAACTTTGTTGCTCTTTTTGATTTTTGTCATTCCAACTTTTTCGAATTTAAAAGTTCTTATCGATATGAACATGATTTTATAAGTGGCAAAATATTCGTGATACTCTGAATAGGGTTTCACTTAAGTTACTATTGAGGTTTAAAAAGTCAATGCTTATGTTCAAAGGGTAGACTATAAAAGGTTCACATGTAAAGAATACTGGAATCATATGTTGCTGTTATTTAGCTCGCAAACAGCTTTGTTCAAGTAACTTATCAAGTTGCCACATGATTTATCCTTTCCTATTTTCCTT